AGACATAACTAACCTAGCAACATCGAACAACTAACCTAGCAACATCGGACAACTAACCTAGCAACTAGACACGAATAACCTAGCAACTAAATATAACTAACATAGCAAGACATAATAGTTAGGCCCAAGACATAATAGTTGGACGCCACTGGCCAAACCGGGAAGGATGCTCATCCTGACCAGTCTGACCAGTTGATATAGTTGGGCCCAAGGCCAAGGCCACGGGCTTTCTTCCTAGAGATACTCTTCAGTCAGCCTTCAAGGCCAAACACTCGTTCTTTGCTCCCCTCTCTCATGAGTCGAAGGATGAGGCTGAGCNNNNTAGGGTCCCACACTGTCTCTCAGATCTTGGCCTTTTAGATGACAACGACCTTCTAAGAGATGATTTAGAGCAGCTGGATACTTCGTCCAGTGGCCCGACCATCCATTTATCTCAGAACAGCATTCGTGATGCTGTCCCTTTGCATGTCCATTCTCATAGCCAGGACTGCTCTCTGGAGATGAGGACAGCTCCTGCCACCGCTTCCTCGAAAGAGAAATTGCCGACTCACCTCCCCTCTATGGAGATTGGGATCTCGACTAAGCATATAGCTCTCCAGTCACACTCTGATGGTGAGCACCCGAGTGCTCTGCCGGATGGAGTCTCTTCACCTTCCCTCCCGGAGCAGGCATGCAGTCTCAACCGCGCTCAGCACGACGTCTCGTGTGAGAGTTTCGCCTCCAGTGCCTTCGTGCACCATGGCAGACAGGAGGCATGCCCGGAGATGGGACAGACTCCTAGTATCAGTCTTGGTCAGAATGCTCAGCCTGACGATTCGCAGGCCACGAGCGCTTTTCGAGGTCGTTCACCCTCGAAGACCATACACACACCGCGCATGACGCGGCAGACTGTCTCTCCTGCCCTTCGTCGATCCTCTCGCCACCTCCCCCCTCCTGCAGGTGGTTTGACTCAGCCTAGCCACAGGCAGACCTCGTCCGATGGCTCTTCTCATTGTTGATATGTCTATCACGTCCATTACTTGGAATGGACGGGGATTGGCTAATAGGGCCACTCTCGCTTACCTTCGCTCTCTCATTCGTGATCATAGATTGGATTTTGTCGGCTTTATTGAGCCGATGATTCGTACACCTGACTTTGACTATTACTCTCGTCGATTGGGTTTCCAGTCGGGCGTGGGTAACACTTCCCATAAGATCTTCTTTTTCCACTCGCGTGATTACACCTGTCGGGTCCTCCGGGACACCGATCAGGTGCTTCATATCGAGCTCTCTGCTTCCCATCTCCCTGAGCCCATATTCCACACTTTGGTTTATGCCAAGTGTAATAGAGTCGGGAGATACGATCTGTGGGACACCCTGCGTGAGATTGCTGAGAGTATGGAGGGATTGCCATGGATGGTTAGTGGTGATTTCAACATGTTTCTGCACCCCGATGAGCGTGTGGGTGGCCCCACGGACCGGTCCGGGAGATGTGGGACTTTGCTCAGACTGTAGCGGACTGTGAGTTGATTGATGCTGGTTGTGAGGGTGAGCCCTTCACGTGGGTTAGGGACGATCTCAAAGAGAGGCTCGACCGTGCTTTGGTTTCTGAGGCATGGTCGAAG